TCATTTGAATGACTTTGAACTCATGGTGGATATGTGAGATTTTGACATCCTTATTAAATCAAGAAACTGTAGTATTCCTAAAAAAAAAAAAAAAACAGCTGTCTTGGTGGATGCATCTTGAAATTTTTTTTTTTTTTGAGAAAAGAAATTCATTCAATTATTAAAACAAGAGGCACCAGCAGTTCACACAGTTGAGAAGCTTTCCGACCAATCGGCCTATATATATGTGCTCCAGGGCTAGTTGCATCCATAGTCCCCGCATACTCTTTCTCTCTCTCTTCTGCTTGAAACCTGCACTGCTGTTAGATTTTCCTTTTTCCTCTGTTTCTTACTCTGCTTCTAAACAAAGCCAGCTTGTCTGAAGACAGTCTAAAACCATGGGAGATACCAAGACATCAGGAGAGAAACCAGCAGTGAGAATTCCTCCACCCAGGGGTGGAGTTAAAGTTAGGATGTTTAAAGAGCTGGGAAAGAAAGTAAAGACTGTGGTGTCTATAGCCAAAAGACAGGGGAAAAAAGAAGATGGTGAGTCTGGTGACGGCGCCGCCAACACAAGTTCTTACTCTTCAGATGGCAATTCAGATTCTTGAGGCCGACGTTCAAATCAATCAATATGTTCTCTTAAGTTTTCCTCTCCTTCCTTTCCCAAGTACTATATATGTGATGGAGAGTGGTCTCTATCTGAATCTGTGTCTGTATCTGTCTCTTTTATTGTTTATGTCAGCGTTTAATCTGCAGAGAAGATAAAGATGTCCGATTTTATTGAGAATTTTTTTTGGGGTTATTTGGCTTGTTGGGTTCAGCTCTGCTTCTATCAAACTGGATAAATTAGTAAAAATATAAAATCCTTTGTGCATCTAAAACATGTTTTTGGAATCTATACCTCTCGCAAGCCATCCGATCCTGTGAGTAGAAGCTTGGTTAACAAGATAATGAAAGGCAAAAATTTGGATTCATAGCCAATCTGATGATGGGGAATCATTAGGTGATTATTTTCTATAATCCCAATTCAATGAATGTGTTTTGTGTTCTGAACATTAAATCCTTGGTAATAAAGTAGACAGACTTGCTTGGGAAGTTTTGAATTTCAATGTAAAAATTATTTTACATTAAATTTTTTTACATTATATTTATATAAAATTTTAATTATTTATATATTTATTTTTAATGAGTAAAATTTATTTATTTTTATTACATTTATTAAAAATAA